ATGCTTCCCAAGGTCATATAGCTAATACGTGACAGGACTAGGAAAATCCCAACTCTTAACCACTATGCTATACTATCTTCTAAATGGGTCCCATCCCCAGGCGCATAGACTTTTCATCATAATATACATTGCTGAAGAATTTTTGTGGTGCTTTCTATACTATAGGCTCAGTAGCTGATTCTCCTCTCTAGCAGTCAATACACACTAAATTCAGGACTCGATTACTTGACTTGTACTTTCTGTGTCAGAAGTAATAGTATTTACCTAAGGGAAGAGAATTCTCTTCTAAGTCTTAATAGTTTGTGTTGACTTCAAGGCTCGGGGTGAAATTGGGAAATGTCAAAATCATCAGTTTTTTCATTAAAATCTCATTTCTGTTTCTAAGTTATAAAGCAAGCAAAGGAAACAATAGAAACTGTATTACGCTCTTAGGGTTTCAGACCAGCCTCAAAAATCTCTCCTCTAGGCTGAATGGTGGTAAACTCTCAGAATTGTTTAGTTGAAAAGGAATGCTCCCTTATTCAAAGCCTATCCTTTCTCCAGAGGTTTCCAATTACTCCTCCCATCTGCCACCTGCCATTGGTGTCACTCACTACTTAATGACACCTCTGCTTGAGTCTGTATAAGAAAGAAGCAAATTAGAAATGAAAATGAGACCTATTGATATGTTACTTGCTTGTATTATATGACAATTATTTATAGTTTTGTAAGAGTGGACATTTTAACTATGTGAATTATAGGGTTATTTACAAGTATCCTTTATTCATATTCTTTTTATCCCAAAAAAACCACCAATCCTGGTAATGTTGCTGTCCAGTGAACAAGATAAAATATGTGATAATCCCTTTTTCTGAATGAGAACACATGTTCCTTCAATCTGCTTTGTGACTTAATCAATGTGGCATTATTAACAAAGCAGAGGATGTCATGAATCAGTCAGAAGGAAGAGCCTTGTAATTCACATCTCATTTCCCAATTGAGCAATCATCTGTGGATAACATTCCTACCAGAGCACTTTAGTGTCTTATGAGATTCCATAGTTGAGGGGACATTTGCAGACTCAGGGGCTTATAATTCTGGCCTATGGACCAAGTAAACAATGGAAATAGATTTCCTACCTTCCTTGGGCCTCTGATCCATGGGTTTACAGTTTAGGATTCCTAGGTCCATGTGGTGGATTCCATTCATATTTGCTTCCTTCCTGCCTCATAGTAGCCAATTTCTTGGTGGTATGGCCTCTTGAAAAGAACTTGAGAGTAAGGAGAGTTTATTGATAATGACTCCCCACCACTGAAAAACCACTCAAGCTATTTCTGAACGTGGGGCCTTGGCATGAAAGGCTGAGGCCCCAAACCTTATTATCATAGTACCATCTGTCAGAATTCAGAGGCATTTTAAAGGGTGGAGGAAATAGTTGAAAGAAATCAAACAGTTTATTTCCCAACCAAGAGAATTCATGAAAATCCTAATAGCAGAAAAATTTCCTGTTGAGGAATTTAAGAACTTAAGAAAAGATGAGTTGGATGGCCAAGATCGGGTATGAGCCTATGAACTCTCTTATAGAAATGTCTTCATTTAGTAAAATAGACAACATTAGAAAGTACAATGGTATTTTTCACACCTAAAATTACCATTAATTTTAGTATGTTTGATTTCCATTTGCAATTCAAGCTCAATAGTAGAATTTTGAGGCCTTCTTTACAGTTAAAAAAAAACAAGATTGTGAATTTGTTTTACTTTTTTGTAGCAGATGTATGATTATAAGAGACTAATATTCCTCTTCTGGTTCTCCAAGCTAGTGGGCAGTATTTTTGCAGTTATAGAGTTCTCCATCTCAGTTTCCACTGGACTTACAGAGGGATAGAGTATTTTAGAGGGAAAGGAGAAAAGAAGAAAAACTATGTGGAAACTTTTTAAACCAACTTACCATAGCTGATAATGTGTTTCTCTCCCAGTCTACAAGGTTGTAAAGCCTTACCTCTGTTCATAATAACCTTATGCCAAGATATATCCTCAGTCCTTCTTGCCCACATGTGGCTTATTCTGTTCTGACAGACTAAAGGGTACAATTCTATGGTCTGGGTGGGCTGACCCTCAAGCTCCTTTATCTCTCTCCAGACTTTATTGCAACGGCCTCCATTCCTTCTTTTATGTCAGATTTACTTCCCTTTTATCTTCCCCATCTCTATTACTTCCTTCTTTTTTTTCCTACTTATCCCTATCAGAGATTACCAGCGGTTCTTTCTACTGTCTAAAAGGAGTAAAAGTTTCCTGAGGGAGGGACTCAAAATTGGAAAAGACTGCCTTCTTCAAAACTTTCAAAACATTTGAGTTTTATTCTAATTGCTGGAACAAGAACATGGGATCGATAAATGTTTTCCATCCAAATGTTGTATCCATGCATTTCTTTTTCCTGGAAAGAGAATGCCTAGAATTCATCAGATTTCCTGAAAGATCTGTGACTCAGAAAAGGTTAAAGAGGTGCTTGGGTGACTTAATATCATGAATTTTTTGGGTCTGCTTTGTGGCAATCCTCAAACCCTGTGCCAGATTAAATTCTACAATACGTCAGGCATTTAGTCTTATGGCCCGAGGAACAGCATTAACTGCTGGAGGAGGTAACTGAGACAACTTATGATTCTGTGTATGGTGTGTGGAGAGTCAGGATGCATGGCCTCTGCATGGTAGAGGTTCTGCCACTAACTTGATGTAGGAATTGGGCAAGTTATCTCATCTTCTTGGGCCACAGTTTCCACATCTCTAGCTAGAGAGTGGGACTAACGCTGTGGTTTCAAACCTGACCTGGAGACCCAGGCCCCACCTCTGCCGACTGAAAGAGACTTGCTGAAGTTGGTCCTCTGGAATCTGATATTTTTAGGAATGCTTTTCAAAACATTCTTTTATTTGCCTGGGGTGCACACCATTGTAGCAGACACTCTTTAGGGTCACTTCTAGCTTTAAAAAACTGACTTTCAGTTAAACTAATATTCTCTGCACTTTGCAGAATCTGGATCAGCATGAAGGGTTAGTCAATAGAATGAATATGTCATGGCACTCTTTTTAAATACTTGTGATTAATGCTATATGTAAATGAAGTGATTTATTCAGAGAGCTTATCACAGTAGTGCTGGCTATATGACGAATACTTACCGCATAGGACTGCAACGAAAATTAATGGACATATGGCTAGCGAGCATTTGTCAGGGTGCTGATCACATAGTGAATACTTACTGGATTGATAGGCGATAGGATGATAATAACAGTGATGTTGGTTATGAGATCTTGCTACTCAAAGTGTGCCCCATGGGCCAGCAACATCAATATTATCTGGGAACTCATTAGAAATGCAGAGTCTCAGGCCCCACCCCAGACCTCCTGAATCAGAACCTGCACTTTAGTGAGAGCCCTGGGTGATTTGTGTGCACATATAAGTTTGAGGAGCACTGATATAGGAAAATAATCTTGGGATGCAGCAACTTGACAGCACTCGTACTAGTAGTAAACCAGGGAGCTGGGAGTCACGTCCAAATCAGAAGACTCTCAGGCCAGTACCTTTCTCTTATGCCTCAGAGGGCATCTCTGACCTGGAGCTCTTTAGGCTTTGTGAATCCCACTGGGATGTTCTTTCATCCAAGCTGTAACTGGAAGTCTTTTTAAAACACATTTTTGTGTCTACCACGGTAGCAACAGCACTGTAATTTGTTTTATTTTTCACATTTTTAATTATTCAGCTGTTTCATTTGTCACCATTTAGGGAATTATTACAAAACTTATGTCTACAATGCTTCTGATTAATGCATATTTAGGCAACTAAGCAGATGTAGAATGGGTTGACGGCTTTGATAAAATTAAACATTGAGGAAACATATATTTGTACAGCGATAATGATGCCAGCATTTGTATAAATAATAACATCTATTTCCCTAATCATCTAGAAAAAATAAACAGTGAGAGGGTGACAGAATTACCAAATATGTCTCACTTACTAGGCAGATCACTTTCAAGTGCAAGGTTTTTGTGTGTGTGTGTGTGTGTGTGAATAAAATTGTGTTAATTTATAGCATCTATTTACCACTTTAAAATGAAAGAAGTGTATTTGAGCAAAAAACAATGTGAATGAGACCTGAAGCAGGTTTTCAGGATATGTCATAATTTCCAGAGCTTCTTTGTACATCATGGAAGGAGCATGTTTTTAAATATACCTCTCCACGGTACCACAGTTTGATTTTATACAAGATATGTCCTGAGACCCAAGCTTAAGTGATTCTACATTACCCATTTGTTTTCAGATTTTAGCATCTCTGAAATTGGGATCTGTTTTACAATGGATGGCATGTCACAATTTGATTGGCAGAATTGTTTTCTTTTCTACGATCAACAGGATCTTACATTCAATTAAATTGGGGATTAGGATCCTCAGTGAACTTAATCCTGGTCCACAAGGAACATCATAGTGAGTAACAGAAATGAGACAGAAAGGAGCCATCACCCTTGCCCATATTCAAGTAAGAAGGGGAGGTGGATAAAAGAAAGAAATGAGATTAAATAAGAAAAGATTCCATGGATTTCTGTTTTCACAGAGCCAGAGAGAAAAATTATGGAAGAGAGAATTTAGCAAAAGGAAAGTCAAGAGGAATAAGGGGATACAAAACAAAAGGAGAGTGAATGAAACAACAAGACAGAAAATAACCAATAAGCCCACCATTTTAGTCATTATCTCCTAGACGTGGTGTCTTGCAGTAGACATTCAATTTGCTGCTCCCTTTTCTTATGACGCAGACTAGTCAGTAGAGCTCCTAGAGGGTGGGATGTGGGAGGCGTTTTCAGCATCTTTCAGGAGATATTTTCTCATCTCTGGTCTACACAGGTGGATCAGCTGTCCCCCACACTCTCTGAACTTGCATCTCTTTCCCCTGCTTCCTACACTGTACCCTGTCCCAAGCCACCTGGGGAGGTTTAAATGATTGTTACAACTTCTGCTTGTTTGTTTGTTCTTTCAGGTGATATCAAGATTATCGAACAAATCTACGATTTCGCAGGTATGGCTTTTGTCAAAGAGTAAAATGTTTGTCTAAAATCTGTAGGATTTCCAATAAATCTGTCTCTCCCTTGAGAGTTTTATGTATTTATTTTTGACTTTCCCTAATACACTTCCCAGCGAGAGATGTGGTGACTGACTTTCTTGAGTTTGGGAATAGAGAAGTATTGAAACTCGTGTCTTTATTTAAAGGTTTTATTGTTGTTGCTGAAAAGTAGTTTGTCACCAAAACCTACTGAAAGTAGCAAAGTCCTGAGGTATTGATCTTAGAAGTACTTTCATTGTGTTTAAAATTAGTAGTCAAATGTTTTCTTGTAAGTACCCAGTTGGTGGTGCAGCATTATTATCTATAATGTAAAAAACAGGGTTCAGAGATATTCTGGAAGTAGTTTCACTTGAGCTCCTAAGACAATCCCAACTTTTAAGTATCCTCTAATTTCACGGAAAACTTTCCCGAAGGAACAGTGATTTGTTTATTTATTACCTAGATTTTTATTACTATAATCCTGTGACAGGAACCCTATAAACACCTCCTTTTCTTGCTCTGTACTCTTCTTGAAGCAGTACCCAGCTTTCACACACGTGCATTCACATACAAACTGCACACAAAATGCATACAGAGCCACACAAATAAATCCAATGACATAACGCATTACAAAGACATTGATAATTTACTAAAGATGGTTGAGGATGGAGCAAACAGGGTTTACTTTTAATACTGTTGGGAAACTTCTTAAAACATCTCAGTCCTTTCAACCAAGTTTCTCTCTGGCACTAGTTGTCTTTTCTCTCTCATCTCTACAAAATCCCTCCTCAGGAACTAGCAAAATGGTTATTATGTTTCAATGCTTCTCAACTGGCAGCATTCTCTCACTATTGTACCCCTTTTCCCCCAGACCTTTCCTGTGTTCTCATTCTCATGAAGAGATATTTAGCCTTCTTTTGTATTTACCAATTTGAATTCCTCACCAATTTACAGCACTCTGAAAATGAACATCCCTCCCAAGAATATACTATCTTTAACTTTCAAAAAAAAATCTTATGTGTAATTTAGGCTGAGGTTCACTTGCAATATTAAAACTAGCAGAATAGCAGGACTTTTAAGACAGTTTATGTTTATTTCTCTCTCATGGACAAGTCTAGAAGTGGGCAATATAACAATGTGTCAATAGGGTTCCAAGCCTCCTTCTTTCTGCTCCGTCATCCTCAACACATGGCTTCATTCTTCAAGATCTCCTCGTTCTCTAAGATGACTGCTGGAGATCCATCCATTTCATCCATATTCCAGACTAGAAATCAAAGAAATGTGGAAGAGTGAGATAGAAGCTCCCCTCTTTCTAGGAACCTGCCTAAAATTCCTTATAACCTGTCCACTTACATGCCATCATCCCAGAACAGCCTCATGACGAAACCAAGTAGCAAGGGAAACTGAAAAATGTGATCTTTGAGCAGGGTGTGTTGTTGCTAAGAGTTCTGTTAACTAAGAAAGAAGAGGAGATTATGTAAAAAGGATATAACCAGCATTCTCCATAGCACCTGCCCTGATGTAAATGTTTCCATTTTCTTCATGAGCATCATCATCATCACAAGAGGAAGCATTTATTAAGCATTTTCTATGCTTTTTGCTGAGTGCTTTATTTCCGTTGTCTAATATTTACTTTTTCCTCACACTATTCCCAATTTACAGGTGAGGAAACCAAGGCTTTAAACAATTATATTACTTGACCAAGGTTATAGGTAGAAAGTCACAGGACTTCTAGGACTGTGTGACCAAAAATCCTTCCATTCAGCTACTAGACTTTGTTCTGCTTCCTCTTTAGTCAAGGCAGGTTTGATCGACTCTAGTCATTTATGATTTTTTTGTGTGCGTGTGTGAGGAAGATCAGCCCTGAGCTAACATCAATGCCAATCTTCCTCTTTTTGTTGAGGAAGACTGGCCCTGGGCTAACATCTGTGCCCATCTTCCTCCACTTTACATGGGACGCCGCCACAGCATGGCCTGACAAGCGGTGCCTCGGTGTGCGCCCAGGATCCCAACCTGGGCCGCCAGCAGCGGAGTGTGCGCACTTAACCGTTACGCCCTGGGGCCTGCCCCAACTCTAGTCATTTATGATTTTGACATGACTATCTCAGCAAAATGTCATGCACTAAATTAGAGATTTCTTTGACTGGGTATAAAAACCTCATTGCCCTCGTGGAAGCATTTGTCAAGAGAGAATGAAGGGGTGAGTAGAAGAGAAGGAAGGGATCTGTGGTTGAACTCTACAGCAGTGTATACACAGGTGAATCCAGCTACACAAGGGAAGTAGGTGTTTCTATATAGCTGGCCTGAAGAAAGTAACTGATACTCCTGCATAGAGGCTGCATGTGGGGCTGGGTGTTTAATAATGAAATAAATTTGAGTCCTGCCTGCAATAATGGTAGGTGGGGTAATTAATTAATTCCTGGCTTAAGTAATGTTGGCTGCCTTGGTCACAAGAGTCAGTATCTGAGCAACTTGTCTAAGGTGCCAAGTCTCCGCAACAAAATGGAAGTATGAAATTTAACTTGCAGAAGTACAAACACTATAGGTTATTAGTCGTAGGATTCTATTAGGGACAATGGAGCCTCCTTGAAACAAAAGAATGATTAAATTGCCAATGCAAATGTACACAGAAATCCAATTAGAGAATGCACTCATTGTTTTTCACTGCTTTGAAAATTTTGCCCTGTTGTACGTTCAGCTGGGTGAGCTAATTTTTCCATTCTACAATACTAGTATACAAATGTATCCCTGAAATTCCTTGTGGGTCCAACTTTTGTTAAAAACACTGCATTTTAGAATATTGTATAAAACAAACAACAAATAAAAGCAAAACTATGACTATCCCAATAAAGAACTAATGGCATCACCATTGATTAAAATAATCATATCTAGTTGGAAAGATAAGTCTAATAATGACATTTCCTCAAGAAATGTTGAGGGCCGGCCCCGTGGCTTAGCAGTTAAGTGCGCGCGCTCCGATACTGGCGGCCCGGGTTCGGATGCCGGGCGCACACCGTCGCACCGCTTGTCCGGCCATGCTGAGGCCGTGTCCCACGTACGGCAACTAGCAGGATGTGCAACTATGACATACAACTATCTACTGGGTTTGGGGAGAAAAAGGGGAAAAAAAAAAAGGAGGAGGATTGGCAATAGATGTTAGCTCAGGGCCGGTCTCCCTCAGCAAAAAGAGGAGGATTAGCATGGATGTTAGCTCAGGGCTGGTCTTCCTCACAAAAAAAAAAAAAAAAAAAAAAAGAAATTTTGAGCCATTAAGATTAAAATACAAAAATATTTCATGAGTAAATTAACCTTAGCAGCTATGGCCTAAACTGACTGGACTATTGCCTGTAAGTCACCATAGGTTCAAGTACATTTTTTGTTATATCTATCATTATAACTGTTATAGTAAAATCCATATATACCAAGGAACCGTACAGTAAGATGAAGTAATAACCATGACAGTTCATGAGATTTAAATAGCTTTCTTAGATCTTTTGAGTTGGTTATCTTATTTTCATTAGAAATTATTGATGAGCAGGTATAAGTGATTGTATCCTCAAAAGAAACTGAGGCACAGAAAAATGAATGGATCTTTTGGAGCAGGGAAGCCACACCTAGGGCAGAGCAAGAATCACACACTCGTACAGTGACTCTGTTGAGGGCCGCCAGCTTACCCTCTGCTGTTCTTTCTGCCCTGCCTCTCCATCATTACCTCCGTTGTCCTTTCCCATCCTCTCTCTTGCTTCTTCTTAGCCTATAAGGTTGAATGACTCCAGTCAAGAGTTCTAGAATGGGGTTTGGCAAGACTTTCTCCTTCTTTTCCCGAGGCTCTTCAAGGGGAGCAGATCAAATCGTTTGCTCCATTTCCTGCCAAGTAACTTGTAAGAACAAGGAGAACAGGGAGCAGAGTAACTGAGGACGCTTCTGGTCTTCTTCCATCTGTGTGATCCAAAATAGGAAAGATTTTTATTCTCGAGGATAATATAACTTGGCTGGTTGATCTCCACATCAAGGTCCACTGAAAACCCTATAACTTTAAAATAACAAGGCCCAAGACCTTCCAGTAAAATTGAAAATGTCTTTATTCCTAAGAGCATGCCATCACATACAACACAGTGACAGGCTGATTAAAATCTAGAAGCAAACCTGGTAAAATGCATGTTTAACACAGATCTCCACCAAAAGAGTTTAAAAGGCTAAGAGAAGGGTTGGTGGGCTAACACCAGGAAAGCAGGGCAAGTAAGCCTGGGGAAGATCAGAAATGGGGAGACTGTTAAGACCCAACCAAATAATAGCAAAATCTGCAACGTCTTTGGTTTTAATGAGAAGTTAGTCTTTAAGGAATTTGACTTTGTTAGGATGGGGCCTCCAGCATGAGTGTTATACCTCTCAAGAGGTCTTTGCCATCTGTACTAATCTATGTTATCCACTGATTTAGTCAGAGCCCAAGGGAAATGGCAGCATCAATAAGAGACTCCCATCCATTGTGGAAGATGAGGAAGAGGAGGAGGAGGAGGAAGAGGAGACAGTCTCCCTCTCTCCCATCTACACCAGGGGATCCTCCTCTTCACGCAGCAAGAAGGTTGGAAGCAATAAAAGCTATCTCGGCTTGAGCTTGAAGCAGCTGGCCTCAGGAACAGTGCCATTTCACTCACCTATCAGAGTCTCCAGTACAAATTCCCCAAAAACCAAACAGGAAGCTGACCCCCCTAACCATGGTAAGAGGAAAGAGAAGAACTTGAAATTGCAGCTTTCAACTTTGAATAGTGCTGGACCCCCAGACCTCAGTCCAAGGTAAGAATTCACATCATGTAATTCTTTCCCAGGTGAAAATGGCTGCCTTTTATTGAGACTAGAATCTGGCCAGTAAATTATTCAGCCTTCTGGGCCTTCCTATGGCACAGGTTCCTAGCCTGGGATCTTTAGCTTTCCTGAATTTTGTGTGCAATTTCTGCCTCTATGTGAGGGTGCATGCAGTATGAAAATAAATAGATTTAGTCATATTCTCAAAAGGGTCCATTAAATATTCAGAATTCCTTTTCTACTCTCTTCATCCATTTAGCGCTATTATTATAAATGTATATTTCTGCGTTGTAATTTTATAATTTATAAATTTATAATGAAAATAAAATAGATGGAACAAAGTCTATTGATGTTATCCCCTCAATATCTGATCTTACCAATAGTTTTATGAAACCATGAGATGAAATTATGAAGGAAATGAAGTGCTGATTTTCATTTTTCGTACGAGTTGCTTCATTATTTTAGATGACCAAAGCGTAGTTTTGTTTCTGACCTCTTCAGTAGGTAACATGGCATGGCTCTATTTTTAATTAAAAACAAAATTTACTTTAGGAACCATTAAAAGTGATAGAAAAGGTAAAACATCCTGACTCAGAAAACGTGAAAAGAGTGGGATGGTGCACAAAAGCAATAGTAAAAATCACATCACAGTGAAAAACAATTTGCTTTAGGACCCACCAAAAGTGATAGAGAGGGTAAAATATCCTGACTCAGGAAATGTGAAAGGAGTAGGAAGGTGCATAAAAGCAATAGTAAAAATCACATCACAGCTGAGTAATGAATTTTTATTAGTGCCATCTTGTCAATTCTGACTCCTAGTGACCCTGGGTACAGCAGAGTGGAACCCTGCCCAGGTTTTTGCGCCATCCTCTCACCTTCCGGTGCTATATCAGACAATGCTCCACTGTCATTCATATGGTTTCCATGGCCAGTTTTTTCGGAAGTGGGTGGCCAGTCCCTTCTTCCTAGTCTGTCTTAATTTGGAAGCTCGCTGAAACCTGTCCCCCATGGGTGACCCTGCTGTTATTTGAAGCTCTGGTGACATAGCTTTCAGCATCACAGCAACACGCAGCCACCACAGTAGGACAACCAACAGATGGGGAATAATGAATAGAAGCAAGAAAAAAACATATTGAGTGTTTCCTAGTTCCATGTACTCTGCTAGGTAACTTCACATTCACCCTTGCGTTTAGTCCTCTCAGGAATCCTATAAAGTAGTTCATATTATTTCTACTATAAGGATGTAAGAAGTGAAACTTGAAGGTTAAGTATTTTGTCCAAAATCTCATAAATTAAGTTCTGAAATCTGGATCCAAATTCTGTTTTTCTACTTGGAAGGCAAGTGATCTTTCTAATATACAATATATTTAATTATTCATTTGAAGAACACAATTTATCCATTTAGGGAGAATATTAAAAAAAAAATAAGCAAAACAGGCTTAGTGAAAAGTAGGTGGACATTAAAAGTTCAGGAATTCAGTTGGAGATGGTAATTTAAAAACATTGCTTAACTCTGCTCCTTCCTAAATTTTTAATAAAATTAAAAATAATAAATTTTAAATAGGGAGAAAATGTATCAGAGCTGGAAAAGAAAGATTTATGTACAATTGATCCCATACTTGTAAAAAGAACACATTTTCTTTCTTTTCTTTTTTTTTGGTGAGGAAGGTTAGCCCTGAGCTAACATCTGTTGCCAATCCTCCTCTTTTTGCTGAGAAGGTTGGCCTGAGCTAACATCTGTGCTCATCTTCCTCTATTTTATATGTGGGACACTTGCCACAGCATGGCTTGATAAGCGGTGCGTAGGTCTGCACCTAAGATCTAAACCTGCAAACCACGGGCTGCCGAAGCAGAGCACAAGAACTTAACTGCTATGCCACTGGGCCGGCCCCCCCACATTTTCTTTTTACGTGGAAAAAAATGTATATATATAAAAAAAGATTTTAAGGACATACACTAAAATGTGAACAGTAGTGGTAGATTACAGGTGATTTTTTATTTCCTAATTTTTGTTACATTTATGTTTACATTTTCTACAATAGACTTGTCTTTTTTTTTTAATGATGAGTGAGTTAGATATTATTTACCAAGAAATAAAACTAGCTAAAGTCCTAATAATAATTTAAATATGATTCTTCAACTCTCACTTTAGTTTTGTCCAAGTCCAGACTAAAGGTGTCATCTAAGTTATTTTCTGTGATGCTGTAATCATTAGGGTAAAACATTTTCAATCTGGATAGAATAGTGATTTAATATTAATTTAGTTAAGAGAACTTTCTCTTAAGCTTTTGAATCTGAAAATATGTAAGATTCTAAATTCTATAGCATTGCTGTCCAATAGAAATCTAGTGTAAGCTAAAATTATGAGCCACATATGTAATTTTAAATTTTCTAGTAGCCTCATTTTTAAAAAGTAAAAAAAAAAATCACACACACAAGTGAAATTAATTTTAATAATATATTTTATTTAACTCAATATGCCCCAATTATTATCATTTTAAATGTAAACAATATAAAAATTACTAATGAAATAATTTACTTTTTTTTCTGAAAACTTCAAAATCCAGTGTGTATTTTATGCTTACATCACATCTCAATCTGTACGAGCCACCTTTCAGGTGCTCAACAGCTGTATAAGGCTAATGGCTACCATATTGGATAGCACAGCTCTAGAGTGTCTAGAATTTAGAAATTTAACACAATTTTTTTAAGTTTTCTAGAAACACTGGAAGCCATAAGTATAAATGGACAACTAACCAATTTATTTTATTTTAAACAGGATTGTTGATGGAATTGAAGATGGAAACAGTAGTGAAGAAAGCCAGACTTTTGACTTTGGCTCTGAACGAATCAGGCCGGAGCCCAAAATTTCTCCTCCACTCAGAGGTAAGCTCTATATTTAGTCTTCTCTCAAGAGGCGATATTTCTTTTAAACTTGTAATGTTTGGCATAGGCACTTTTCTGCCTTCCCATTCTCGGAATATTCTCCGTGTGATAGAACTTTACCAGCACCATGAATAATTTGATTTGAGTCAGTGCCATCTCCAGGTTATTAAGATATCATTTGTAATTGTTCCTCTGTCCAGGCTGTATGTGCTGCCATTTACCAGCCCAGGTAGATGACGTGTCAGGAGACTCAAATTTCTGCTATTCATCAGAGGGTAACAATGTTTTCCTATTATAAATGCAGACTAATCCACAAAAGCAACATTACTCAGAGGAAATGCTGTGTTGGTTGTGCACTGTAGGAACATTGGTTATATTTAACCAATTTATTTGGCGAGAGGTTGTGTACTTTCATTTTGTCAGAGGATAAACAACTTCAGAAGGGTGTAATAATGTTGGAAATGATGGAGAACTATATGAAGCACTACCCTTTAGTGATGGTGAATTAATGTAAGAGTACCCCCAAACCTAGCCCAGGCTCCTCTCTCTCCCTTTCATTCTTGAGTTCATTGCCCATAAAAAGAAATCTGTCGACGTGATGAAGGCCATAAATGACAAACAAATTCTAAAGAAGAGACGCCTGTAGTTTATAAAGAGAGAGTAATGAAGAAGTGTTAAATAGGCATAGGCAATACAAAACAATTACCAGCAAACTACCAGAAGCAACGCCAGTGATCCCTTGCCAAGTCTCTCCTCCCCTTCCCACCCAGCTCTGAGATCCTTGTGTCAAGATCTCCTGTCAGAATCTCTCCACGGACAAATCCAAGCCCAAGAAAGACTTTGAATGTACAGTTCTGGGAGTGTATCTTCATTTGGGATACCAGTATTCCATCTCAATAAATAATCCTTCTTCCCAGCACTCATCATCTTCTGGGGAAATGGAAGACTCCTTGATGGGGGCACAGCAGGAGGGAAGGAAGTAAGAGAAGGAGTGAAGACATCAGTCAACAATCCTAATTCATTCATTTAGTTAACTTGTGCTGATGTTACTCTGCTTGGGGCAAGGGGCACAAAAATCATAATTATAGTCAAGCTGGTGTGAGTATTTGCTATGAAAGCTGGTGATGGGTCCCAATTGGAAGTTTCCTTTTGTTGGCTCACCTGGACCTGGAGATGCACAGAACGTCACCATGGCTGTCCACTTATTTCTGGTCTCACCATCCTCTTAGCTTCCTCTTCTCCCTTTTCCCAACGTCTACCCCTATACTCATCCATTCAAGCAACAAATTATCTTGACTCTATCTCCTAAATATCCCAGTTCTGTCTAAGACTTTCTATCCTTACTACCACCACCCTATTCCTTGCCACATCCATCTTTTGCCTGCATTGCTACCAAAGTCTCTTCTCTAGTCTCACACTGTTCTACATGCAGAGTGAACTGTTTTAAAAATACAAATTTCTTCTTCTTACTCTACTCCTATGCTTAACACCCTGAGATGGCTTCCTATTGCCCTTGGTATGAAATCCAAACCTATCACATAATTACTTTTTAAATGTCTCTTTTTCCTGCTAGCCTCTATGCTCTATGAGGGTCCATTATATTTTCTTTATTTATTGCTGTCTCCTCTAAAGGAGGCTTAGCCTATTGTATGGGATCTCTAATCATTTGTTGAATGAATGGATTAACTTTGCAAAATATCTCTGCAAAATGAGCTCCTACCATCCTGCCACTTCAGATTGTTTTGAGTGACTTTCTTCTCCCACCAAGTTTTCTACCCATAATTTACCAGAATTAGAATATTAGGATGGTCATATCATGAAATATATATATAAATGAATTCTAGAAAATCCTTTCCACTCCAGCTAGCAGTGACTCATCTGCACTTTTGTCCTTAACAGAAACAAATGTATTTGGAATAGTGAGGTAGAGAAAAAGTAGAGATGAGAAAACCAGAAAATGGGAGAAATTACCTTTTAGAGCAACACAGGAGGAGACGGAAAACCTGCAGTGGAGATTAGCACCTGAAATAGAGGTGGGAGGAAAATTCTCTGATGGACACAGGAATCAATATTTGGAAAGGAAAGAGAGAAGGAAAAGAACATTCCTTTTCCATGGCTTGGGCACTGTCTGATATATTTTTAGAGAATAGTCAAAGAAGAGAGAATGTGTGCCATCTTGGAACATAGTAGTGCTTGTGTTCAGAGAAGGGGAGATTTGCCATGGCACATCCAAGCAGTGTGGTCACAGCCACCACCATGATGTGTGCCTGGTTCCAAAGGGTATATCAGGTGCCATCCAGAGGAGTGGTAGAAGTTTGTCCAATCCCGGGGAGACAGAACCTACAATACACAGGCATCAGGAAAGGTTAAAGGTAGTAGTTTGGGCTTCCTTCCTTATTCCAATTGCCAAAATCCACAAATACAAGGTTTATTCCTAAAGCTCTTATTCTGTGTGTGTGTCACTTTTCAGACCCAGAGGTTGGAGCTGCTGTTCTCTTCATCAAAGCAGAGGAGACCAAGCAGCAGATAAACAAACTCAACAGTGAGGTATGGAGCTTTTTCTTTCTTTAGTCATGGGGAGTGGTAAGAAGGGGTATAAATCCTAGTTACCAGCAAAAGCAGTATAATAGAGGAATTAAAAGCATATGCTCTTGGTGTCAGACCACCATGGATAAATTCCCACTAGGCCTCATATGAGTTATGTGACCTTTGATTATCATTTTTCTTCTCACAAGCTCTATCTCCCCAAGTGTAAGAAGGGGAGAGTAATTATAACTATCTGCTGGCCCATTGTGAAATTAAATGAGATAATCTAGGTAAACCATTTAGCATAAAGTAAGTACTAAATAAATGATGATTATTATAATTAGGGTCATAAGTGTATGGATACTTGGTGTAATTGGTCTTTTTTCACTTTTTTCATGTACTTTAATTTTTAATGAGTTAAAGCAAGATCATTAGTCCACAGATGAATCAAAAGTAATGAATCAGAGGAATCACATGGCCTGAAACTCTGTTCCTTTCTCTGACAAATATGTGCTGTGCAGCGTTGAGCACTTTACCTCTCTGGATCTTGCTATCTATCCATGTAAAACAAGGTAATTTTTTTAACAACTTTATTGAGGTATATTTTACATAACATAAAATTTACCCATTACAAGTATACAATTCAAAGATTTTTAGTAACTTTATTGAGTGGTTCAACCATCACCATCAATCAGTTTTAGAATATTTTTACCTCCTCCAACAAGATCTCTCATACCCATTTACACTTAATCCCCGTTCCCACATCCAGTCCTAGGCAACCGCGTATCTACTCTGTTTCTATAAATTTTCCTTTTCTGGCCATTTCATACAAATAGAGAAGGTAATTTCTGAATCACTGCCTTAATTTAAGTGCCCCCCCCAAACAAAATTAAATTAAAAAAAAAACCAGATTTTGAGACAACAATTTGGATGCAAAAATTTTATTTGTGAGGTTATCTAGGAAGCAAGATGAAGTAGAGAAGACTGAAAAGAAAAGAAAGAAAAAAAATAAGGGTGTGTTAATGAGATAATGAACTCTGTGGGCAACTGGGGACACTGAGAGACTGTGTAGGACAACTCAAAGTTGTTCCACCACATGGCAAGGAAAAGTGGAGCTGAGGGTGGTTCCTAAGGGCTTAACTCCCTAGCTCTTCATGCAGGCCTCGCCGCAGAGGATACTAGAAAGATTTCTCAGATAGGAATATGCAGGAAGACCTGGACCTGTCTTTGGTGACCTTCAGGGTAGACCCAGGGCAAGGAGATGTGGGCAGGCACAGACGGTACTAGAATCCCCGTCTAGGACTAGAGTGTTAGATTATCTGATGAGATCTTGGTGGAAAATGTAACCAACTGATGATATCGATAAGACTTGAGAAAAATGAAATTCATGTAATCATAGTTTCCAGTTATCTGTAATAATGGAAGACTGAGTAGCTTGTCATAAAGTCCAGAGGTCTTTCTTCAACCTGTGTTTCTTCAGCTTAGTGAAGATGTATGTTTTACTGCCATATCTCCTTCTGTGCCTACGCTCTGGAAGTGAGGTTGCTAACAAGATGGCCAAAGGGTAGACAAACAAGATAGGAACAGAAAAACTAACTGGATTGAAAGTCCTTAAATCACAAGGACTTGGCCATACACTAGATCACCTAAATAACCTCTTGTTAAAAATACACCAAAAAAAAAAACAAAAAAAAAAAACGTACTAAACACCCTCTTGGAGAACTGGACATTAACTTTCTATTGAACAATTTCTTTTCAGATATCATTCTTGGCTAAAACCACCCATTAATACCAGGTGAATTCTTTTCTCTCACATTTAAAAAGATCATTTAACGGTTTTTAAGAACTGACTGACCAATATCTTAGCTCAAACACTAGAGTTAATTATTCTGGGAAATAATGTGTTTATATCTTCACCTTTTGGAATGTAGACAATTTTTCCAAGTTACAGCTGTAAATCTACACACTATGTGATTTTCCTTTGACAATGTGAACCGGTGGTAGATGTGTTAAGACAGATAACCACCTGAAAAACAAAATATTTCCCACTGTGATTCTGTACTCATGATTGCTTTTCTAGTGAGATGACATAAATCTTTTTATCTTGTCGTATATTGAAATAAAAAAGGCAAGATAAAATGTCAATAGTCCAATTATCCTTCCCTAAAGCATTAGATTTTCCTTATAGGAAAGTATCTGATTTCTTCATGGTTAAAGCTTAAATACAAAAATCTTGTCCTTTACACACGATTTAATTTATACACAGTCTTGACCCTTTGGGTAGTGCATTAAAACCCACTAAGACAGGGAGAATGAAAATACAAATTGGCTTCAAACTGCATAATTATCCCCCTTCTAACCTCCTACTTGTTTTCTCCTCGTATCTCCTACAAAGTAATCCTATTTATTTATTTATTTTTATATATATATATATATTTTAATTTTTATTTATTTATTTTTTTCCCCCAAAGCCCCAGTAGATAGTTGTATGTCATAGTTGCACAGCCTTCTAGTTGCTGTATGTGGGACACGGCCTCAGCATGGCCCGAGAAGCGGTGCGTCAGTGCACGCCTGGGATCCGAACCCGGGCCACCAGCAACCTAGCACTCACACTTAACCACAAAGCCACAGGGCCGGCCCAGTAATCCTATTTATATAGCCATAAAAATCTGTCTTCTAAAGTCCAAGCCTAATTTTTCTGTATCATCTGTTTCCTGCTACTCACATGAGTGATAATTTGATTGCTCTATTCTTTGTTTATTCTATTCTTTGGTTAGGAGTAAGCAAGAGAAGGATTGATAATAAATGTGGTATGTACTGCATGATAATAACACTGCAACCAAGAGGGCAATCCCCCATATATGTGAGGCATGTTGAGCCATGTGTAAAGCTTGAGAGCGTTGCACAATCCCCATTCTGTTTGTTCAAACATTTAAGACATAGAGAAATTGTTCATTGATATGTAGATTTCATAATCAGCTGCCTAAATACAGAACAAAAGTCATAAAAGGAGTAATATTGGTAATAACCTACATTCACAGAACAGTTAAGAGAATTTAAAAGATGTAGGGCAGATGCTAATAATAAAACGCTTTTGAAAACACTGGCACTGCTTTACAACAGGGAAAGAAATAGTGCAATTCTAAGAAAATTGTTCAAAAATAACGACAAAACGTCACTGTGGGGGCACTGGGCTGTGTGAGTCAAATGCCCCAGTTCTGAAAAGGTTTGTAGGTAAAGGTTAGAGGGTTTTCTCATTTCTGAAATCTGGTTGACCCAGAAAGATAGTGCAGCAAATCCTACCAAAGGAAGCTGCATGCTCTGCCACAGCAGGCATAAGGCATAGAACACACTAGTAGAGAAAGAGAATAAGCTTTGGAGAGAGACAGACATTTAGATCCCTATTTATAAAGCTAACTCTGTGACTTCAGCAAAGTGTTCACCTTCCCTAAGTTCAGATTTTTCCACTATTGAATGGTAATAATAAAATCTGTAATAGAGGGTTGTTGTGAGGACTTAATACCATATATAAAGCACCGGGCATGATGTCTTCCCTTAATAAGTGGTCAAATGCTCGTTCCCTGCTCATACAAGGTTATGCTTCTGTTCAACAAAAATGACTCTCAAGTGAGCCCCTCCCCCCACTGCCTCCTGCCCCCACCTAACAGTACACAGTGCAGGGTAATAGGAGAAAAGAACTAGTCAATGCTTGTGGAATGAAATGAAAATTAATGGACAGAAGGGAAACATATTTAATCGTGAAAAGGACTACTTTCACCTGAGACTTTCCTTTTACTATGAAGATTCTCAATATAAAATTAGAATAGAAAATGATAGGGTAAATTGTTTATATTTCAATGCATCTTATTTTAGCTAAATAGTTTGATGCAATAGTGTCACTGTGCTAATTCTGTAAGGCTTATGGATTTAAGAATGAAGAGATCTACTATGCCATTTTAACAATGCTTAACCATCACCTAATATAAATGGCAAAATTATGATAAAACTAGGCAGGAAAGAACCCACCAAGCTTAACGAAAAGATAATCATAGCTAAATCTTTATTTACAAAATGAGAGAATGCAGGTGGCTTGTTAAATCAGCTCACCAAAGTGCACTTTGGCTCTCAAATGCTCTGCTTGCCATTTTTTTAGCATTTTATTTTTTTTTAATTAAGGTCATAATAGTTAATAACATTGTGAAATTTCAGTTGTACATTATTGTTTGTCAGTCACCATATAAATGCACCCCTTTACCCCTTGTGTCCACCCCACAACCCCCTTGCCCCTGGTAACTACCAAACTGTTCTCTCTGTCCATGTGTTAGGCTATCTTCCACATATGAGTGAAATCATAGGGTGTTTGTCTTTCTCTCTCTGGCTTATTTCACTTAACAGAATACCCTCCAGGTCCATCCATGTTGTTGCAAATGGGACAACTTTGTCTTTTTTTTGGCTGAGTAGTATTCCATGGTGTGTGTGTGTGTGTATATATATATATATATATATATATATATACACACACACACCACGTCTTCTTTATCAAATCACCAATTGATGGATGCTTGAGTTGCTTCCACATCTTGGCTATAGTGAATAATGCTGCAATGAACATAGGGGTGGATAAATCCCCTTGGATTGTTGATTTCAAGTTCTTTGGATAAATACCCAGTTGTGGGATAGCTGGGTCATATGGTATTTCTATTTTTAATTTTTTGAGCAATCTCCATACTGTTTTGCATAGAGGCTGCACCAGTTTGCATTCTCACTAGTAGTGTATGAGGGTTCCCTTTTCTCCACAACCTCTCCAACATTTGTTATTTTTTGTCTTGGTGATTATAGCCATTCTAATGAGTGTAAGGTGATACTTTAGTGTAGTTTTGGTTTGTATTTCCCTGATGATTAGTGACGTTGAACACCTTTTCATGTGCCTATTGGCCATCTGTATATCTTCCTTAGAAAAATGTCTGTTCATATCCTTTGCCTATTTTTTGATTGGTTGTTTGTTTTTTGTTGTTCAGTTG